TCTTGGGACAACTTGGCAGCGTTAGTTCAAGTGCCTGGCAACCGTCAAAATATTCCCAAAACGTCAATTAGAGAAATTTTTAGACTTTAGCACTATCCATTCAAACATCTCGTAGATTAGACAGAAAATTTATCACATTCGTATTTTATTCTTGTAGTGCTCTAGAAGATCTTTGTTATATATGACTTTTCAAACTTTTTTTTTGAATAAACCCATATATTTTTCATTATAGAGTTCGCGGGGTCGCATGGACATGCCGCGTTAGTCCAGCTATCGCCTCCCAGCTCATGCATGGTGCAAAGGATTTGTTAAATTCATTTTTGAGCGATGTATATATTAACTTGGATCAGCGAAAGGTATAGGTCCTTTCCCACCACCGTTTTTCCTAACTTAATGCAATTTTATCAATGTATTGTGTTTTTATCGATTATATGATAGTGTCAGCTTACCTCCATACTGCAGCCAACTTCTCTCTGCCCAGCTCGAAGCCATTTCAGTTTTAATTTTAAACGTCAGTTTCAGTTACACTACCAGCGGTCCATGAAGCTGCTGTTATCATTTGCTTATCTAGCAGCACATAATATCAGTCATTTATTGAAATTCGCTCCACTTTTCCAGCGGGATGTCGCTGGGGAATGTTCTGGTTTCGGAATCGTTCTATGGGCCGAAACTAAAGAAGGCACTTTTTACTCAGCTGAGACTACCAGCGATCCTGAAGGCTCTAATCAATCCCAGCCAATCATACCTGCTGAGCTCGGCAACAAGGCAGCTTCAAAACTTCTGGATCAGGTATTCCTTAGAAATATTGCTGCTCTTGTTTTGTGTTTTTTTACTAGTGGTCGCACTAAAAGCTACTCTTTTTGCTGTTGTAATAAAAATAGTCAATCGCTCGATTGAAATAGCACAGACGAAATAGGTGGGAGATTCAGAATGCACGAGTACCATATAATTTGGCTTTATCTTACAATTGACAGTTGTAAGATATTAATTGATCAGGGCAATAAGTTGGCATGATATCTGCCACCGCATGTTGCCTATCATTTTCATCCTTCTATTGTTTCAGAGTTATTTCGTGTGTTAGGCTGAAGATATCCTATTCACACGATCTTGAAGCTCATGAATAATAGATTCAGACGAGGCCATTTTCTTGGATTAACCAATTACCTCTCGATGACCTCATATGAGATCACTTAAATATTAAGAGCTTTCGTGATTATCTGCCTGTATATACGCATATTTAGCCTTCGTGCTATATCTTTTAGGTATATTTCTCTGATATCCACATGAGATTTTTAAAAAATTTGGCTCTAAATTAATTTATATACAAGTTTGAGGAACCATAGGTATCCAAGTTTCATAACAAAAATCAAAGTGGTTAAAATTATGGGAGGTAATGGGTTGAGTAAAGCCTTATTGAGTCGAACTCATTACTTGCATCCATTCGCTCTCCTCAAGACTAATATTTGCTTCAGTTTGATAAGCATTTGAGTACTGGGTTGATAAACAACTTAAAAAAGAGAAAGAAGAAGGGACTCGCTGGAACAGATTTGCTGAGCCGCTGACGTTTTCGAGGGCGTGGTCAAAGCGTTGAATGA